TTTTTTTATATTTAAAAATCTGTCTGACACTGAAAATCCGTTGTATTGTAAAATTCGTTATATCAAAATTCGTTGTAGAAAGAGTTGACTGTAGTCAGTTTCGAAAAATAATTAATTACCTACTGGAAGTAAACTGCTTGATATTTGTTATATCTTCTCTATTGACCTTATTTCTACGCAACATTTCTTTCAAGTCATCAAAAGTTTTAAGTGAAAAATAGTTTCGTAGCTTCTGACTGAGACCTTTAATGAATTTTGTAAGTCTTGTTGCTAGACCTAACGCAAAACCAATACTACAGAATTTTTCTTCTGTTAATTCAAGAAAATCAGAGCTGGCAATTTTCTCTTTACGAAGAATTTTAATATCATCTTTATCGAGTTTTAAGTTTTTCCTTCCCAAATAATTGATAAGCCCCTCTGTATCAAAATCCTTAACCACATCCGACATTATTCTAGTAGAAATTTCTTCTGTTATTGAGGCGGGTGAAGCAGGTGAAGAAGTTTGTAAAGACATAGTTTTATATATGTAAGTTTGTGCTTGCGAAAAAATTATGCAGTTACAGGTAAAGCTGGTTTATAGATATAAAAGTATTTTGGTTTCCGGAGTAAAGCGCTCAGGTGGAAATGATAGATTTTTTTGTATTGATTCATAATGCATTTGTCCTATATATATGCAATTAAGATGTAGTACAGGATTTTCAGGTGATTATATTACATCATTACACATGACATTTTTCAAGATTTATGATAAGAACGTAATATATGCTTTATTTAAGAAATAAAAAAACATTGCCATAAGTTGTCCTATAATACATAAAAATTGTGACTATATCACTATTACATAATACAGAAAATTATTTGGGGTATACAGTGAAGTGGAAGTGCTTTGCTTTAGGTTCTTCAGTAAAAATATCAATAAAATCATCCTGTATGTCCATTTCTATTTCAATACCGCTTTCGGCTTGAATTATACAAATTTTGAGAGGGATTTTATTAAACAGTGTCCCTAATCTGCTTTGAATTGCAGTCTCGAGTTCACTATAACCTCTACCTCTGCCAATTGTAATCGATTGCATTACTTTAATGCATAGAATATTCATAAGTTTTCCTATAGGAACGATAAGACAATTAACAGTGATGAAATCAGCCATTTTGTTTTTCTAAATGTAAATCTATAGTGAGAAAATTGCTTGGCTCACTCGCATTAAATAACATATACTGTACATACCTTAAATTTTTGTGGAAAAGTTGACTGAACTTCCACATACTCTTACATGCTTTATATCTTGCTGGGAAAAAGTTAAGGAGGTATGAGACGTAATTAGCTTTGTTGTATGATGTCAAGAGTTCTATGAAAGCACATATAAACAGAATCTTCATACCTTTTCATATGAAGATCTACCAGAAAGATATATAGTTGGCTTTACGTCCAACGATTTCAAAATTGCGAGTCTCTCAGCCTTTCATAACATATGCTTTTATTCTCATTATTAACTTATAGGGAAGGTCTTGTGTTGGGACTAGACCTCCTTTCACATTTTTCTCATGTTTATTCGGGAAAAAATAAAGAATAAAGATTAATATGTTTTCTTTTTCGAATATATATATGGTAAAATTAATATGTCACACAAATCTTATCTAGTGATCAGCCTATTTTTTTGTGACTCAGCAAATTCTTCTGAGCTGACGATCACTACCCGGACTTCACATTACTCGCCACCTGAATCTGACCAATCATTTTCCGTATCAGACCATTCTACCTCAATATTCGGATCCAGCTTTTCTATTACTTTCCTACTAATACCTCTACAACCTGACAAGTAAAGGTATTTTAGGTTAGAATATGAATGAGCAATTTCTCTGATAGCTGAATTACCAATCATCTCACAGTTATTGAGATCAAGACGTTTGAGTTTAGGACACGAATGTGCAATAGCATAAATACTGGAATCGGTAACACTATAGCTACTTATACTAAAGTCTTCTAATTTATGACATGATTTCGCTATTTGTTCAACAGCAGTATCGGTAACCCCTTCACAATTCATCAGTTCTAGAAATCTAAGGTTTTGGCATGAACGTGCAACAATACATATAGCAGTATCACTGATCATGAGGAATATTTCAAGATCAAGATGTTGTAAATTAGGATATGCATATGCAATTTTTCTAATGGCCTATCATTAATATAACCACATTCAAAGAGATCCAAATACACTATATTTAGGCATGAACTTATTAATCCATCTATTTTCTCGTCTGTTATTAGATGATTGCAAGATGCGTAAACAATTAATTTCCTTACATTTAATCTGTGAAATAGTTTTAAGTCTCTACAAATATGAAAAAACTTTATTTGTTGTAAACATTCTAATTCAATATGCTCCCATAATATCTGTCCTACAGTGTAATGCCAAAATCGGTTAACAAATAAGACGGGATAAAAAGCCTTGTCAGCTGATAAAAAAATTAGGATTGGTACTAGTATTTTGACTAAATTAAATGGATTAGCCATCCCTTTTCCAAGAATTATTTAATGATATATTGTGAATGCAAAGGCTTGATTTATTAATACAGGGATAAAAATAACCGTTAAGGTGCTTCGCAAAAATGCGTGAGCATATATTCGATTGATTATCATTGGCAAAAAATCTTCTTTCGAGCGAAGTGATTACCACTCCAGATTAGTTAAATCAGTGGAGTAGTAGAGTACCATCATTCTGCTTGATCGGTTAGTATTCTATTGAAATAATTTCTTGGTGATCGTCTATTAGGTTGCCAGTATATCTAATCTAAAGCCTGCGTCATAAATAATCTTTAATTGAAAAAATAAATTAGCCGAACTGGTGATTACTACTCTGAACTGTCAGATATTCACATAGCTCGGGATAATCAAACACATCTATAACCCTATTTTGCCTTACATTCTTGACAGTAATAAAACCAGTTGCCCTATCATATATGTGTTCATATTTGGCTGGATTGCATAGTGGCAAATACTGCATTGGATTAGTGGTAAACTTACCTGCAGTCTTGCGCCTATTATTTCTCGATTTTAGCCATACATAATAATTTATCTGATTCAATTAATCTGATTAACAGACATGTCTTGATAATTATTTTATGCAAATTCTAACTCTGTGCTAATCTGTCCAATATTAATTGAAGCCTAATTATATAAACTTCTTGCTGATCTTCAGCTCTAACTCCATTTTGGAATACCATTTTAATATTCTTTTTTACATCATCTATAATATCCTCTAAACTCATTATACCAGTTGTCATTTTAGTGATTTATTCTATAACTGAATATTTAACATGCCAAAAAAAATCTAATAATTATGTAAGCAACATATCAGTAGACTGGCTTATGCGGATAGGCTAGTTTACTGATCTATTAGTACTTCGCGAAGAGCTTTCTTTAACATCTATGTCTCTCATTACACCAGAGACAGGTAAGTCTTATATTCTGAAAATAATGACCCTCAGAATCATTTATCCGATCAATCGAAAATAATTGCGAATGGCATTTGGGATAGCTTTGGAATAAGAGTGGAACACAATATACCTTACAAACTTTCTTTTGCTAATATGCCATAGAAATCATCTCTTCTGGCATGATTATTGGAATAGCTTTCTCCTCATCATTCTCTGCTAAATAGAGCGGGTTCTCACATACTGTAGTATTCTCAATCAAATCAGTCTTATCATCTACCTTTCAATCCTCAGCTATCATAAGCGGTCTTGAAAAATGTCACTTCTTTTTACCGATCATCTAGCCTATGTCATCTCAATTTTGTCTCAATAATTTGGGTACAAGGAGTTGCTTGAAGTTCAGTAAGTTCAATATATTTAAGGACACCATCTGGTGGTTTAACTCGAATTATTTGGGCTATGTATTATACTCGACTGCAGGCTATATATACGGCATTGTTAATCCAACCTTTCAGGCTATAGTCTACAATGAAACAGCGTTTCAGAGGCTCGATAGTCTGTCTTTGAATTTGATGAATTGTTTTCCAGCCGGCATATTTCTACTCGTCAAGGAGTCTGCGCAGTACTATTTCAAGTGATACATTTACCATTGTACTAACATATGCTTCAATAATTTTATTACTGCCTGAAATCTGCACAGGTTTTCCTTAAATGCGATACATATGCTTAATACTTTCATCTGGGTCAAAACGGATAATTAAGGATATATTGAAAAAGTGAGACTTATGAGTTTGTATTAATGCATTCTCTACTCGCATACCCATATCATTGGTAGAGCAAATCCAAATATCTTCTGGAGTCCATTCAGTAAGTGCATCCTTCCATGATATTGTAGATATAGCCTCACAGAATTCTTGTAATTGGATCATATCATCTTTCATCCATATGCGTAATTTTAGTGCATTAAGTTCGGGATCATAAGCACGATAATCATCTATGCATTAAATTACTTCATCAGCCCACTCAGTTAGAAATTTATGTGGACCTTCTTTATCACCCTATGGTGTAAGCTGGCTTGGATCTTCGCACATAATATTCTAGCATTCGCGACTTTCGGCATAAGATAATAATTTCTGCAACACCTTCTTAGGAATCATACATGCCTCATCGAAGATAAGTATTTCGGCTAGGGCTTTTTTTCCAAGACAAGCAGGATCCCATCATCGATAGGTGTTGCTCCTAGATAAAAATACTTATGATATGGGAGCTTTGCAATAGAAAGGGAGGAAACTCTAAAAAAATTAAATTTTTATTTTCTAAGCTAATTATGATTTTTTTTGTAAAATAAGTTCAGATTTAAT